TTAGGGACATAAGGAAGGGGTCCTGCGCTTACCTGGCCTCCCCACTCCTCTTTCTCGCATTCCAGAACACTTTTATACGAACTTTCCGGACAGACCTCGTAGATTAACCCACCCTGGCTTCACACGGATAGATAGATTTCTAATTTTAAACTACATGATACAGTCCATATTACACAATATAATTTTTTATAAGTGAAAGAATTTTAAAAATCAATTAATTATTTAAAAAATCAATAAAATAAAAAATTAATTTATAAATTATTTTTTTATTTTATCCGGTACAAACCAAAAATCAAAATTCTCTTCTTTTTTTTTATACCACTTAGAATGGCAAACAAGCTGACGGCCCACCTGATGGAAAGTGGTAACTGTCGCCTATAGACATGAGCAGTACCATGGACATAACAGAGTATACTGTTTCGCCCATGATACACCTCATGCGTTATCATTCCTGAGGACTCAGGTGTTATTCTTCTGTACCCTGTAAATTGACGCCATATCCCACCCTTCAAACCGAAACACAGCCATGCAAACACAACTGCTTCACGGTAGAAACACGAATGGGACAGAGGTACCCAAGCAAACGACTTTTAAATGCAGGCAAATGAACATCTCAGATCACTGTCAAAATACCATGGCACGTGTGGCATGTGTTACCATTCCTAAGAAATATGGTACTATGTTTGCGTATTTTGTAATTTAATGTAATTAATTACAGAGTACAGAATTAGGCAATGGCCTATCTACCAAAAAAGGATATGTTCAATAAAATTCACTAAAAGATAAAAAGATATACTCGTATATTGGAAAAACATTTTTAATACAGTAGAATAATTATACAATTTGATTATGTAGTGCATTGTATTATTATTATTTCTCACCACAAACAATTAAGGACTTAATATCTATAACTTGCAAAACATTTTAACAATATTATTTGTGGGAGCTGGTGCCTGTACTAGGTATTAAACCTGTATTACAAGTCACCAGGACCCTTACCTCGAGCAGTACAAATTATACAGATGAAAACATTCACAAAAAAAGGTGATGGTGAGTACATAAAAAAAAATTAGATACATAATTTGTATAAATTGTTATTGAAATTATAAAACACACATCTATACAAAACGCACAGTTGAAGAAAAACTAGTTATTGAGTTTTTGACTATTTTCTAGTAATTAACTAGTGATTATAAAAAGTCGATAAGTTCTTCATTTTTTCTCTAAATTTTATTGTACTAGCTGATTTCTCTACGGCCATATCTTGATCAAATTTACTTTCTGTCTCTTGGTGATTATATTTAGAATCTATTATTATAAAATCATCTTGATTTTCTACACTCTCAGGATTCGTTCTATAGAATAGGGCATATAGCGGATTTCCCTGTAAATTATTTTCTTGATTACCAACTCTCGACGTTTCTATATTTGGATCTTTCCTAATATATTTATCATTACCGATATACTTAATTAAAGTGTCCGATATTCCATTTCTTTTACGATCAAAACCGGAATCTGTCTCTCTTTTTCTATATTGCCTTGTCTTGAAACGGCTTCTCTCTGGTATTTGATGTATTATATCATCAAGGACTTTAGACATGACTTGAGCATTACGCTGGTTATACGGAGTTGTTTTGTGGAACGTCTTGTTTAAAATAGCAGTAATGGGCACATTTTTATAAACTTCATTACCTTTACGTTGCACCGATGAAGCAGGTAATTGGCGATTATTATTCAGTTTCAATTTTTGTGGGTCCGCTGATATTTGCTCCTGACGATTAACATTAATTTGAACAAAATTTGGAACGTACTTGTTCATTTGATTCTTTGATTCTTTATTCATTTGATTGTATAATCTTAACTGTGGATTCACTTGGTTAGAATTGACACGGCTAAGTCCTTTTGTGTCTTTGACGGCCATTTCATTTACATTTCTTGCAATGTATTGAGCTGGTGCCTCAATATGTCTTCCTGGAGAATCCTTAAAGCGCCTCTTATGGGGATTATCAAATGAGCTTATATAAATTTGGTTTGGTGAAGATTTCATTACCCTGAAACGATTGCCTACGTTCTGTTGCTTGTTGATTTTGTGAAATTTCAGATTATTTGGTGATATTAAGTATTTAGATAGCTTATTAATATTTAAAGCATTAGAAAAAGCTTTATTATCACTACTCATACTAACATATCCCATTTGTGGAGTATCATCATAGATATAGTACATTTGGACAGGCACAACAAAATGGAAATATAGGAACACGCTTATTATTTCACGTAGGAACTTCATGTCGACTGTTTCAAGACTAATTAAAAAAATATGAGATTGATCTTATAAATTTCTCCGGCATCAAATGTTTCATTGTTGTTATGTTTTCAAATTGTAAACAAATATACCAATTGTTTATTTTAATGATGGACTGCTTCTGTATACAAATTGTGTACAGATAGGTAAGTAGCAAAAATCAAAATTGCATTTATTTATTTTAATAATATCTAACTTCACACCAAATAGCTTGCAAAATAGGCAAGAGACAATCGGCACCAAAATCATTATTATTTTTTCATCATCATTCATTTATTTTACATTGAAAATATTTAAATTGCGAGCACAGAATTGTGTGTCTAAAAGTAAACTTTGCTTCCCAAATGCAGATTTTCACTCCGCAAAGCAAAATGCCTTTAATTATCATAAAATACATATAGTATCAATACGAGAGGAATTTGTGAAGTAATCGCAAACATGGCGACAAAAAATACAGGCAAATTTGTTGAGAATCTGCTTTTTTTGCTTAAGAACTGCAATAACCATTGAATATAGTCCCAACCAAACGGAACCCTAAGTACAATAAAATCAACGATTTTAATGTTATTAAAACACAATCTATTACTTTGTATATAACATTCTCATGTAATAATTCATCTTTAACATTGTTTGAATTTCTATGAGGACAGTAATTAAAAACATTGTAGTTTACATTACAGTTTGAACAGATACAATGCGGTTAGTCTTTTAGTAAAACGAACACAGTACGGTGTTGTCTTAAAAAATGAAAGATTTGTCATACTTTATTTCTACAATGATATGCTTAAATTTGTCGTACGCAAGATTAATTGAAAGAAGAACAGAAAACAAAACTATAACTGATGTAACACCAACAAAATCAACGCAACCGATTCGATCAACAAGGCAAATATCTGAAGAGTATAGCTTAATAGGACTTTCGAGGGAACTCAATGGTCAAACTTATGAAGAATATAACAATATAAAACCAACTTATGATAGAAAAGCAAGATACTCTTTTAAAGTGTCACCATCTGAAAAGACTCGTCCTCTGAAAAAGTTAAAAAAAAGTAGCAACATAAATAGTAAAAACAGTTCTGAAAGTTATGTTTTAGAGAGTAAATCGAAGACAGCATTAGTTAAGCCACCTATATTGCAATTTAAAGAAATTGATTATGACGATTTTCAAATGAAGGTAAATAAACTACCTATAAGATTAGTTGATTCTGGCGAACATGAAGATGAGGATTTTAATTTGGATGATTATGATTTTGATGTAAATCATGATGAATATGCTGTCAGAGGTAAACCATTGGAACCTCGAATAAAAATAAAAGATGCTAAAGAAAAAAAACATAAGAAATCTAAACCTGTAACTGAACCACCGCCTGAAATAAAAATACAAAGTTGTCATACCTCGTATAGACTCTCGTATAAAAGACAAAGCAAAAAAAGGAGCAGACAAAATAAAAGAAGATTATTATGATGACTATATGACAACTACCAAATTTTTGGAGAAAGAAAAATCTAATGACGCAGACGATGAATCGGACGACGAAAGTGAAGACAGCAAAGAAGCATTAGTAAGAAGTGCCAGGTCACCGTGGAAAATTAATTCATATAGAAACACAATAAGAGACAAAGCTACGACTATAGTGTCGAAAATATTGGGAATATTACCAATGTTTCCATAGGCTCCACCTCGAACGTATGCAGAGAACGAAGCAAGTCTCTCTCACGACCTCAGGATGGATTCCTTGACAGCCAGAATGCTTTTGTTTTAATTATCTTTATATTTTTTTATATACATACATCACAAAATATACGAGTATCTTCAGATATTGAATACATTGGTTCAAATTATGCTAAGTATTAAAATTTAAAATATATACCTACATACGTATAATGGGATAAATTTCTTTATTGTTGTATCATACAATAAAGAATATGATAGAATAATATAAAGAAGAATAAAGAATAATAGACTAGTCTAAGCACCAGGCAGACTTCTTTGCTAAAATAGAACCTATTATCCTAATATTCTTTTCCATTCACGTTCAAAATAGAAATTTTCATTTATAATCTGTTTTTATTTATCTACTTACTTTTCTGGTATATATAATAAGACAACCAAATAGATTAACAATAATCTATTTAATAAATACATATTGGCAGGCTGGCCATTGGTCGCCATTGATTCCATAAAAAGCTTAAAGGAAATCTAATTCATAGTGAAGCATTTTGCATTGAAATAAAAGGTACGTTGTAATAATTGTAATATCTATCAAAATCTGTTTCTTTGATAAACTACAAAATACTTTATATTTTTTTATTTTACACTGATGTAATATAAAAGACGTCTTAACAATATTACTTCTAAAAAAATAATGTTATTCTTTACTAAAATAATAAACTTATTAGCTTTGCTCATTAATTTTATTAGTATCAAAATAAAAAAAAAACTTATAGATTTAAACAATTTAATAACTATTCAATAACATGCAATATTCTAAGTATGCGCTTTAAGTAACCTTGTATTACTTACTTGTTTTTAGTTAGTGTCGTTCTGAAAATAATTGTCTTAACCTAACATGATTTTAAATCTTTCTTTAAAAATTCACGTAAAGAAAAAAATGTATGTACAAAAGGTGTACTTAAAAACGTTATATTCCAATCTGAATATTTAACAGATTAAACAATTATTATTATTATATTATAAATATAATTTTAATACCCATATAACATTGTAGGCACTTATTTAAATAATTATTAGGCTAAAGCTAAACATGACTCGGATTAAATAAAAATGATCACTTTATAAATGGTCCAAAGAGGTCTACTTTTATTATACCCTAAAATTATCACTGTAGTCAGCACTGTTACTTTGAGCTGCTTTCTTGGCTACGTCTCTGTACCTATTGAAGTTACTGTCATATCCATTTCTGAAGTCATGCCCTTTATGACTGTTTGCAAACTTTTTATTTTCAGTATTGCCAGCTTTTTGAGACGCAGATGCTTCGTTACCTATTGCTGCTGCAGCATGAGATTGCAAAAGGGCTTCAGATCCACCATTATGAAGAGTAGAACTACCTTTTTCATCAGCATGTGCACTATTTCTGTTGTTATCAAAAAATTCATTATCCTCCTGATATTCGTCTTTATGATATATTCTACGGAATCCTTTTCTATTCTCTCCTTTATCTTGATCCTTTTTAATTATATAATTGGCATCCTTTTTATGATCCTCAGCACCGAACCTGTTTGCAAATGTATCAATGAAATCTTTAAAACCCCTGTAATTATGGTTAGATTTTTCATATCCTTTTTTATGATGTTCGTTTGAGTTTTCACCTTTATCGCTTTTATCGAATTTATGTTTTTTTGTATAACCTTTTTCAGTAGAAGATTTTCCTCGTTGTGCTGTACCTTCATTTTCTATGTGATTAGTTTGAATATATGCAGGGTGTATTGTAGCTTGATTACTATTTTCTAAGCGTCTATTTCTTTTCACATATTCATCTATATCTGGAAATAATGTTTCGTCATCAAAATCTTTACCCCAATCTAAACCTTTAAATTCTAAGTGATCATCATCTTGATGCTTATCATAATAATCATTTAAAGCGAAAGAAAAAAATGGTCGATTTCCCACTATAGGATTATCTGTAGATAAATCGCGATTATACCTAGCTGTTGAAAGCGAAGATCCGTATTGATTTGGAATATCGTATTCAGGACTTTCATAAACAGGAATAAAATCTTTGGGGGCATCTACAGCGTAACGTTTATCCTTTGCTTTTTGGATGTCAGAGTCCACCTTCATGATTTCATATTCATAGGGACTGTGATAATAATAAGGCCAGCTATCGTAGACGTTTCTGGAACTTGTTCTAACATCATTATCATCAATATGATAATCATTGCTAATATCATAACCAATTTCATTTATTACGTTATCTCCAGATGGATCGTAATACATAACCGATTTCAGTCTTTCATACATTGCGTCCGATTTTATTTTTGCTGGGATATACTTGGAATCGTAGATCGCGTCTGCTTTAGCTTTCTCATAATCAAAATTATATTTAGTGGGTTTGATACTGTTAGGCTCAGTTGCAGACATGCTTATCATTTTCGCTTCAGATTTCGCTTTTTCAAAATCGATATCATATTTTGTTGTCGGCTCTATACTCGGTTCGGTTACAGGAGGTCCACTCATCACTTTCACTTCTGCTTTCGCCTTCTCATAATCGATATCAAACTTGGTTACCGGTTCAATATAATGCTCTGTTATTGGGGCCGGGAACTGCGATCCAATTGGCACCGTAAGTCCGCTATATTTCGTCATCGGTGGATCATAATATTTTGATAACTCGATCGACGGATTCCTGTGTTTGTCCATAGCGTCGCTGGTTGAAAACGAACTTAATGCACTTCCACTATTGCCAAACACTGCGAACGTTCCAGGTCCATTATTCGATTTACTAAATACATAACCAGTCTCGAATGGAGGCGAATTTGATCGGGACTTTCTCGATATATACATGCTATGCTGAACCGCCTGCGTATCACAGTAAACTTGCGTCACAAACACCAATATAATTAAACCTCTCATTGTCTACATTTACGTGTTTTCATTTGGCGACAGCGACGTTAACTGGAAGTGTCCGTTTCTAATATTGTTTATATTAATTCTTTATTATTTCCGTTATTCGTAAAACAATATTGTTCAAGCGACAATGGCATTTAGAACAGGTCAGGAGAACATTGCGAAATATCCCGTATGCACAATACTAACAAGCATTAACTAAAAGTTAGTCAAACTTTAAGACTTTTAGTTCATTTTCAATAACTTGCCTAACCAGTGTTTATTGAAAATGCAGGCGGGAAATTTAGGTTTCCTATGATAAATAGATTTGGTTAATTGTTTTTATGATGCTAAAGTTATCAATTAAATTTCAAAACGATGTCTACCTATATTTTTTTTAATGGGTGATAATGTAATGGTAACCTCGCCTGCGCTAGGGGTATACGCTGGCGGGGCACCATTGAGGGATGATAGGTGACCACGAAAGCAGGTCAGTTAGCCCATCGTGACGAATTCCAATAGAATTAATCATGATGGCTTCCAGGGGAAACCACGTGGAGGTCGACCTGATAGGGTGTATTGTTAGCAATGGATCAGTTAGACCGACCCCTCTGTCTACCTGTATTAGGTTTATACCTACTTATATTAGGTACACTTTGTACTTATATAATAAAATACTGATCGATGCATATTATAAATTAATACGGCTCAAAAATACGAAATAAATGAATATACACATTCAAAATTATTTCTTACAGACTTTAATTTAATTATAAACCGATTTTGAGGTTTTTTTTTAATTAGTAGGGTTTACATCTGTGTTGCATTATAGTTTTAAGATATATACCACACATACTGACATACCGTCTATCAATACATAGTCTACAATGGATAATATTATGTTTTTACGTACCAAGTAGGAAACTCCCTTCAATAATAATGAGAACTTGTGGTCTCACTGTCATCAGGTGGACCTTCACATGACCCCCAATGGACCACCGTGGTTAATTCCTGGTAAAATAGTCACTACTAGTAAAGCCAAACTGATCTCATTTGAACCATACCTATCATCCCTCATTGGTACCCAACCGGTATATAGATACAGGTGGGGTTACTATTTAATTTTTAGCCATTATAAATGCCTACTAAGTAGTTTGAGAGGGGGGAAGAGATTGTTAGTAATAGGGTATTTTTTTATGTGTGAAAATAGTATGGTAACCCCGCCTGCGCTAAAGGGATACACTGGCGGAGCACCAGTGAAGGGTGATCGATGAGAATGAAAACAGGCCAGTTAGCCCATCATGATGAATTCATCAGGAATTAACCATGATAGTTTCCAGGGAAAACCGCGAGGAGGTCGACCTGGTTGGGTATATTGCTAGCAATAAGATTCTCAGTCTACATTACTAACAATCTCTTTCCCCCCTAGTAATAGGGTTAGTGAACCCCATTGCCAACAGTATATCTTATCAGATCGATCTCCAAGCAACTTATTTTAGGATCATCGTGGTTAAATATTATTAAATTCGTCACTGTGGATCAACTAATCAGACTTCATTCTCTATATCTCTCACTAGTACACTGCCAGTAACATACCAATAGCGCAGACAGGGTTACCATTTCATTTTCATCGATTGAAAAAAAAAAAGTTGCCCGAGACGCAGACAATTGATGTGTTTGACACAATTAACAACTGTACAGTATTATAAATTATATATTGACTAGTCTGGCACGCGATTTGTCTGCGACCGCGACTTATCGAAGGTCGGCCATTGTTACGCGGCTACGGGCGTGACCGTTGCTTTGAACGGGTTGTTCATTAGCGCATGTACGCATTAGGGTGACGTCCTAATTATTACTGTAGATTCATTAAGAAGCGAAATTTGTACACTTGGTAAGATCTATGTACCTTAATGTTACGAGCAGTGACAGGTTTACCAGCAGGTTGCGTAGGCTTGAGCCTATAACGGCAGATTTTAATAGCGGCAAATTGGAGACCAAAAGTTACAATTTCATTGTTAAAAATTTGCAATGTATATATATATATATATATATATATATATATATATATATATATATATATATATATATATATATATATATATATATATATATATATATATATATATATATATATATATATAGGCCATATTCTTTTAGAAAAAATATTATTATGAGATTGATAAATAGAGTAAACCCTATCAGTTTAAAAGGAACTGTCAAAATCGGTTAGATATAAAAAATAGAATTGTATGAAGATATTGCTTCTCAACAGTTCCTATATATGTATATCATATATAGTAGTACTATACTATTTCTTAAGTTATTGATTATAAAGAAGTGTTATTAAAACGAAACTTAATAATCCATTTTGTATTGTGTTTAGAAAATTGTCTAATGAATAAAATGCAACTACGAAACGTCTAATATGATTGTCCTCTAGTAAAAATAATTATGCGAATAACTCCCCTCACAGAAAAGCATATATGTAGGGGGGAAAGGGTTTGTTAGTAATGGAGACTAAAAATCCCATTGCTAGCAATATTCCCAAACAGATCGACCTCCTCGTGGTTCCCCCTGGAAACTATCATGGTTAATTCCTGATGAATTCATCATGATGGGCTAACTGGCCTGTTTTCATTCTCATCGATCACCCTTCACTGGTGCTCCGCCAGCGTATCCTGTTAGCGAAGGCGGGGTATATATGTACGTTAAAGGTACGTAATATACCTATATTATGTCTACTACTTTATAAGGCGTGTCATAGCAGAAAATAAAGTGAACAGAAACAGCGTTTTAATTCCATTCGTATGATACATGTTCTATTTTAATGTACTGGCATATCCATATTAGTAGACATAAAGGCCTACATATAAATGATGGACAACACTCGACCTATATTTCTCTCTCTTTAAACTGGACTAGAGAAACAACCAACGGAGAATTTCTAAGGGGACAACATGCGTTTGCGCAGACTTTAAAAGGAAATAGATGGAAATAAAACAACAGAATGTATGTCTATCAGACAAATATTTTATTCTAATAATTTAGAATAAATTCTCGAAGTTTCCACATATATATATAAAAATAATATTTTCCAATATATTTTGTACAGATCAAGCCTCAATCGTGGTTGAGTGGACATTCTTCATACATTGGCAAATAGTTACCACACATTGGCTGGCTATCGCATATTATGCATTAATCTGTTTCCAAATAAAAGTACGAGGTAACTCTTCTTGGACGACAATTCTGATCACTTGGGTCCCTTCTGATAAGAGAAATTAAGTATATATTTTAAATTAAATCATAAATTTCGTTTCGAAGTCATTTTCTTACATTAGACACCTTAGTGATAAAAATTAAAAACTCCTACAAATCTATTTTAACAATTAGTGTTTTGTCACTTTCTATCGAATTGCAAATTTAGCACAAAAGAAAAGGAGCAATAACAAAAATAGGATTACATATGTTTGATGTTGTATACATTAAAATGTTTCATATCAAAGCCAACTGAAGAGTGGTAACGTCAAAATTATGAATATTCTTTATTGCACTAAAACACACAATAATAATAACAATTAGAAACAATGGGGGCCGATTTTGAAGCGCCATTCCTCTTATTCTATCTCTAAATATATAATTTCTGATTTTACAGCGAAATTTTTATTGTAACGACCGATATAATCTATTTTTTTATTAGGTGAAAATTATTATAATTTTAATTTTTGATAGTCATAAAATTTTCATTTAAAAATTTCGCGAAATTATAAAATTAAAATATTAGATAAAGACATAAATTTAAAGAAATGACACCTCAAAATCGACTTCAATGTAAGCAAAGTTGCACTTATCTCTAAAACAGATCTCTATTTGTTAATTAATTATTTATTTATGTAATTAATCGTATTGTATGCCCGATGTATGGGTAGGCTGTTTTCCTTTAAGACGTTAATAACATCTTACGAAAAATTGTAATATACAGCTCACAATAAATTTATTCTATTCTATTCTATTTATAATTAAATATTTCTGATGTACAGATAAGCAAGTCAATTAAAAAATATATAAGTTTGGACGTCACCACACTTCCTCACGCTTATTCCTATGAAACCCTTATTATGCAGGTAGTTAATTACAATTTTTACAACATAAACAACATTACAAATATAAACTTAGCCACAATTGTAACTTATGTTCACATTGGATAATACAAAAATAGTCAAAGTTGGATCTAGTAAAAATCCAGAATCTATGTGAAAAAATGTATTATCATAATTCTTACATCAAGATCTTACAATACGTTACACTTGTCCATAAGATTCTTTATAGACGAGCGATACTTCGGTAAAGGTAAAAGAATTTACAAGTCGTAAATGTTTCAGCAGCTATTTTTAACATCAATTACTTTTAACTCGAGTTTCTTTCGTCATTGGGAAAATAGACGTATTTAAGGGAAGGCCGGGTGGACCGTACTCGCCCCAGAATGCAAGCAAATCTTATAGCTATGCATTAATACATGTCTGAGAGTAACCGATCTTACAGAGTAATTGACGACCCATCTGATGGAAAGTGGTAACCGTCACCTATGGATATGAGCAGCTATAACAACAGTATACTGTTATCCCCCATACGTTGCCATTCCTGAGGACTAGGATGTTATGACACTATACCTAGTAATTTCATTGCCATATCCCACCCTTCAAACCGAAACACAGCCATGCAAACACAATTGCTTCATGGCAGAAACACGAATGTGACAGAAGTGCCCAAGCAGACGACTTTTATACAAAGTCCCCCTCTTGAAACACCGACAAAATAAAAATCTCAAATACGCCAATATTTGCAAAGTGTTTCGTCTATAAGAGCCTTATAACACATTAGTTATACAGCACGTAAAGGGGCCCGTACACGTGTGATAATGTTCGTTAACGATTTAGTATAAAATGATTCAAAAGTTATTTTCACATATCCACTTACTGTTTTTTTAAAACAGTTTAATTCCATGTATACTATTACTCGATTCCAAGTTATATCCATACCATTATGTTATTTTTCTAAGATTTTCTCATTAAAAATTATGAAATGGTCCAATTTTCAAGGATCTCAGTTTGAAAGAGTAATTGGTAAAGAAAATATGATATACATATTTTGAAAGTTAGCCAAAGCCTAAACTTGCTATTTTAGACAGTTGTTTCAAAATATTACAATTGATTGATTCAAACTTTTTGCGTCCAACAAATTATGCTGTACATTTACATGAAGTAAATCGGGTAGAGTTTCATTAATAAAACAGATAAATGTAAATAAAAATTAAAATAATCATATCAGAATATATAATAAGAGTAAACATTTGAATCTTTAATTGTGAGTTTTATTTATATAAATAATATCATTTCGTAATTTCATTATTTACATTCGATGAAACATGTACAATTTGTTAAAATTTTAATTTCGATCTGTTGCGATTTATATTTTTAAATAGGCACATATATTCCGAACATAAATCCGAACATTCATTATTTGCCTTATATATATTTAAAGATCAAATTATTCACTTTGTAATTCAATTTCTCAAAATATAACAATTTTATTTTTATTACCATTAAGATAATTGTTTGAACTTTTAGTAACCATTCATATTCAGGTATAAAAATTTACAAAATCATAAATAAAACACGCACATCTGATATGCAGAGCTCAGCATTTAATTATATCAAACGAGAAAACTTGATCTGATCGATCTTATAAGAATGATAAGTTATTATATTGATCTCATGTCTATAAAATTCCCGATAGATCGTGTATGAACACCTTTATTTGTATTGTCGATGGGCGAGTAAAAATAAAGAAAAAAAAAAAGAATAAAAAGAAAATTACCAACTTGTACTCTGACCGTTGCATAATTGGAATATGATTTAGTACGAATAACAAAAGACAGGACACTCGACTTGAGCAGAGTCGGAACATTTTTTTTTTATAGCTAACATTTAAAATTTCTCAATGCACCTTGCATTTGAAATATTACTTTAGTAAACACTCAAGCGTCCATATTATTCAGATCTTTGGTTTATTGAAACCTTCAATAGGTAATGTATCAGAAAAAAAAGAAAAAAATGTTTGTGACAATAAAGTTCTGACTTGTATTTTATAGACGGACATATTGGAGAAATCTGGTTATAGAGCTCGTAACCGACGTCAATGTTATTATATATTTATTACATTATTATTATACTTGACATGTACTTCGGAATACACTATAATCACCTTCATAAATACGTCAAACCTGTCATAAACCTATTTAAGCTATTGAACTGTTTTGTCTCTTTCTTTTGTACTAAAATCCCAATTTAAAAAAAAAGAGACCAAACAATGTAATAGTAGAAATAGTTTTGTAGACGGTTTTTGTTTTAATGAATAAGGGGGCAACACTTTCAATGTAATGAAGTGAGTAGCTGCCCCACTACATATTTATTAACCAGAAGAAATGGTGGGAGAGATATTGTACAATATATATATAATATATATATACCCAACCAGGCCGTCGTCCACGACTTTTCCCTGGAAACCATCAGCTTATTATCGTGACGAATTCTATAAGAATTAATCTCGTGGAATTCATCACAATAATGGGCTAACTGACCTGTTTTAATCCTCACCTGTTATCTCTCACTGGTACCCCGTCAACGTATACTGATAACGTGGGCGAAGTTTTCACCATTCCATAAAATACATCCCTGACATTTTTAAAACAAACAAATGCCATTTAAATGTAATAAACAACACTTTATGACCTCTATGATAGCTGTGCATATTTCATGTGGTTGAAGATCATTGTTTTCAATCTAGTTTTAAGAATATAATAATAGATTTTTAGGGTCATACAAAGCCTGTAGTGTAATTGTATAAAACTCTGGATACATCACGAGAGAAGACATTGTAATAAAAGCTCTTATTGCAACGTCATTAGATTGTGTTTCGATTACTTTGTATTTAATAAATGTATCATAAGCAGATTCGAAATTGTTTCAATTATACAATTAATCGAGTATAATTCTCATTTTTTAATAATAATTATAAATAATTTAAAATGTTTAATATAATCAAAAAAAATCATTTTTCAATTACAGCGATCGTAATTGCATGCGATAGTTACATTTTTTATTTCATTTTCAATATCTTAGAATTACACAATTAAACAACTATGAAAACTGCCACATATTTTTTGAGTTACATCAGCATAGTTTTATAAATTAACGAGTATCAGATAATGGTCCGGTTGTAAAATAAATACAGAGTGAAAACAAAAACATTGGCATCGTTTTAATGGATAATTAACTGAACATTTCTGCCAAAGAAACGTGGGTCAACTAACAACAAAAAAATAAAATAAAAATTGAGTCTGTTACACTAACTCGACGAGTTTAGTTGTATTTATGGGTGGGTTATGTTCCTTTAGGTAAAATATTCAGTTTTACCGAGAAAAAACTCCCTTAAAATACACTAATGATTCCCTTTTCACACACACAGTGTATAATAGCCTAGAAATGCGAATGAGTATTCGCAGATGAAATCTCAATCAAATTAATCAAAAATATAATGCAATTGAGTAGGCATGAGCGATACAAATCGTATATAGTTACGATAACTATGTATCGGTCCAATATTTAGATATTGAACGGAACGTAAACTATATATTGGATATCATCCATTCCTTGTTACATTCATATGTATGAAACTATGAATATATAAAGGATAACGCAATACAATGATATTGATATCATGTACCTAATAATCTCTGATACATAAGCGCTTTTATGTGATGTTAAAAATCATAGTATTGTCTAGTACTTTAATTGGGAGGGGGGGGGGTGCAGTAATGGGATCTACAACATAAGGTTGCCAGCAGTATACTTTATCGATTTCCACACGGTTGCTCTTAAAAACATTCGTGGTTAATTCTTGTGGAATTCGTCACGACTTGGGCTAACTAACCTGCTTCCATCCTCACCTATTATCCTCCCACTACAACCTCGCTAATGTATACAGATAGCGTAGTCATATTTCATTGTCAACCATTAAAAAAAGTACTTCAGTTTTAAGTTTCGATAACTTATATTAAAAATCAACTTTCAGTTACGATATTAACTCATTCCTACAATTGTGATGTACATTAAAAAAAATATCTATTGCTAATCCGTATTCATCTCAAGCTGACAGCTGTTAACTGTCATCAGATTCTATATTTAAATATAAATTAAATATATACCTTACATCAGGATACGTCAAATTTTGAACACAACTAGCAATAGTCTAACATCGATCCACCATATACTGTAACCCATATGTATTACTTTCCGATGCTTCGAAACAGTAGACATGTTCCACAAATGTGCAAAAATTAAAAACTTGTCTATGGCATATTAATATTGACAAAAATAATAAAAAAACTTCGTGCAAAGTAACAGTGGTAATTTTAAAAACAAATTTTATACCTTTTATCTATATACATATAAAATAAACTTAGACAATAATCAAAACTAATTTTACAATACCATAGACAATCACATTTCTATTTAGAAACGTATCTAATGTTTCAAAGACAATAAATCTATACACTTTCTAATCTATGTAGGTATCTCTATATCTAATTTCGACTAATAATTTTAACGCCAAGAGGTTTCAAGTCGCTCTGTACACCGAGACTAGAGACAAAGGCACACAAATAACTCACAACAAAACATAAATGTATTAAAATAAATGAAGTTTCAATTGTACATAGAAAATTAAGTGATTCTGCAGTTTTGTCTACAATAACTAGGATATTAAGCAATCATACTGTAATATAGTTATTATGTCATAATTCAGGATATAGTTCATGTGTGTATAAAATTTCATTAAAATTAATTTAGTAATTTTAGTGTGATAAAGTAACAAACAACCAAATATCTTTACAAACATGCTATGATTGGAGACTAATCAACAACTGATTAGTTATAGAGACATTTGGCGTTTATAAGATTTCTTTTTATACTTATTAAGGATTATATTTATTTATTGCTTGTCACAGAGTAATCAACGATCCGAGGTTCATATAATGTACTCATCATAGGAAACATAGAGTAATACGAGGGGAGGTCAAAAAGTTCGCGCGGAATGGAGGGGTTGGCGGAGGTTGGTTTACTCGTCCAGGTAGTCACTTGTTAAGCACCTCGTTAAGAGTATATATACCAAGTTTGAACCAAATCGTGTCATTGACTTTTGAGTTATCTACCTGCAAACAAGTGAATCGGGAAGAAGTCAGCGAGTATGGAGAAAAATGAACACCGCGCCTTTATTAAGTTCCTTACCAAGAAAGAAAAATCCGCTCAGACGATTTTTCAAGAGCTGTTAGCAGTTTACGCGGTCCCTGGTAAAACCACGGTTTACAAGTGGCATGATCTTTTCAAATAAAGAAGAATCTATTAAAAATGACCCCCGCTCCGAATGGCCAATTAAGGCCACCACACCGGAAATCGTCGCAAAAGTAGAAAAACTTGTATTAGAAGATACCCGGCTGAAGAAGAAGCAGCTTGCAGCAATGGTTAGAGTATCCGAAACAAATATTTTAAATATTCTTACATCATCATCTTGGCATGACTAAAGTCAGTGCAAGATGGGTTCCAAGAATGCTCACGTCACTTCAAAAAAGTGAGTGTGTCGAGTGTTCTCGCCAAATTTTGGAGTTCTGTGAAGAGAGTAGGGAAGAAGTTATGGCCCGGATTGTTACTGTAGATGAAACCTGAATTCACCACTATGAACCTGAGTCGAAGCAAGAGTCAATGCAGTGGTATAATAAAGGCACAACACTGAAGAAGTTTAAATTGTCACAATCGGCCGAAAAGATCATAGCGACTATCTTCTGGGATACAGAAGGTATTTTGCTGATCGATTGTAAAGATCGTGGTGTAACTACAACGGGACAGAACTACGCTTCTTTATTGGACAGATTGAAAGAAACTATCAAGGAAAAAAGAAGAGGAAAGCTGTCAAAAGGTGTGCTCCTTTTGCACGACAACGCTCTCGTCCACATGTGCCATGTTGCGACGGCTACCATCCACTGATGCAGGTTTGAAAAATTAGACCACCTACCTTATAGTCCAGACTTAGCCCCCAGTGACTATTATTTATTCCCAAAAATGAAAAAGGAGCTGCGTGGAAAAAAAATTAACGACGATGAAGAAATCAAGTCTGCATTTTGACAGCAAATTTAAACCTGTTTTTTCGATGGTATAAACAAATTATTTGAGAGGTACGAAAAATGTATTAAGGTTAAGGGAGAATATATTGAAAAGAAAAAATAGTTTCATGTTTAATTTCAACCGCCTTCCCCTTCATTCCGCGAACTTTTGACCTCCCCTCGTATATATGGATATATCTGTTTTACCTACTTCTGTCGGTAAGGAGTATGCGATATTGTATTCCGGATAGCAGGATCAGATTTGTTAGGCAAATTACCGAGTATTGTAATTCAGTATTTTAATATTTGTAATTATTCAATCATATCACAATGCTCTTCAACGCGTGTGTGATGCTCGCAGGTTACCGCAGCATATTACCATCTGGCAGGCCGTATGATTGTTTGCATTAATATAATAAAAAAAGTAAATCCTCTCATATTTATAAATACATTGCCTATAAAATTAATAAACTATAAAATAATAAAAAATACTAATATTTGGTATTAAAATACTATAACAATATATTTTATGAGCGATTTCATCTTAAAGATGAAATGAAAGAGATCTTGTCATATGCGAAGTTAGCTAAAGAATTAAACGATTAAAACCTTTCACAAACTACTGTTGTGTATGTCACTTTCTTATTATTCAATATATCATTTTATTTATAATAATAAAACATTGGGAGATTTATTTAAAATTATAAACTATGTGTGATGTATTTCAAAGAAAGGCATAAAAACTATTTCATCCAAGTCAAATCAGTCGTATGGGAAGCTCGTAAGTTAAATCACAAGAGAAAATTATACTAAAAGCGAAGAGAATTATGAACTAATTGAAAAACCTACTTTATGACACATTGGCATAAGGACCGAAACCCCTTGGGCGTGATACTACTAAGGTTTCTGTTACAAAAATATCTATGTGTACAACTAATGTAACTTTTACGTAGACAATATAATTTTGAGAGCATTTTACACTAACGTAATATTAGGATCGGTGCGGTTCTTTATAATACTACAGACTGGTGATTGAATCTGGAAATAATAACAAAATTTTAAATTAATATTAACTGTATCTGTAAATGGACCTATACATTTACATTACAGCTGTTAACTGTCCACTGCTGAACATAAGCCTTCCCTATAAGGGGAGATTTGCTAGTAGTTGCCAAACTTGGCAGGCGGTTACTTTACCATTAAGATCCTTTAGTCGCCTCTCACGACACCTACAGGAAAGGAAGGGGTAAATCGGGATAATATACCAATACTCGAAAATTGACCACCACTATTACTATCAGAAGTTTCACAACCTTCCATATTAGCCATCAATCTCCAACTGTCATTATGTTCACGCACGTTTTGTGACACGTGTTTTACCTCTAAATGAGGCATCTTCAGGCAAAGTATTATTCACAATAATAATAGTAGTCAATCTTCCAGAGGGAGACTTTGTACAAAAGTCGTTTGTTAGGTACCTCTGTCCTACTCGTGTTTCAACCGTGAAGCAGTTGTGTTTGCATGGCTGTGTTTCGGTTTGAAGGGTGGGATATGGCGTGAATTTACAGGGTACAGAGGAATAACATCTGAGTCCTCAGAAATGGCAACGCATGGGGAGTATCATGGGCGAAACAGTATATTCTGTTATGTCCATGGTACTGCTCATGTTGTAGACATGAGGCGACGGTTACCACTTTCCATCAGGTGGGCCGTCAGCTTGCTTGCCATTCTAAGTTGTATAAAAAAAAATCTTCGAGTGTTGGCAGTCGCACACATACTAATGGTAGCGGAATTAAACAAAACAATTCTAATTGAATAACCAATCTCTATTTTATCTCAGGTGTGCGGTTACCTCACGCGTCGAGCGACTGGTTGGCGAGCGAGCCCTCCCATGCCGCTTCCTTGTGAAGGGCTTCTTGCCGTTTCCTCTCTGAAAATATGAAGGTAAGTCATTAATACAGCCTATTTTATGATTATTTCTAAAAAAAAAAAAAGAAAGAAAACATCAATTGCCAACAACAAATAAAGTTACATAAATTATCAATTTAAAAAAAAAATAAAAAAAAACTACTATATTTCATTACAAAAGTTCTACTATATTTTATTACAAAAGGGCGACTGTATAAAAGTCGTTTGCTTGGGAGTCTGTTCCTTTCGTGTTTCTACCATGAAATAATTGTATTTGCATGGCTATTTCGGTTTGAAGGGTGAAATATGGGTACAGAGGCGTAACATCTAAGTCGTCAAGAATGGCAACGCATGAAAGGTATCTTGATTGACACAGTACTTTGTTATATATGGAACTGTTCTCGTCAATAGGCGACGTTTACCACTTGCTGTCAGCTTGTTTGCTTGGCAACCACTGTCCCATTCGTGTTTCTACCGTGAAGCAGTTGTTTGCATGGCTGTGTTTCGGTTTGAAGGGTGGGATATGGCAGTGAATTTACAGGGTACCGAGAAATAAAACCCGAGTCTTCAGAAATGGCAACGCATAGGGGGTATCATGGGCGATTTTGTCCATGGTGCTGCTCATGTCTATAGGCGACGTTTACCACTTTCCATCAGATGGGCCGTCAGCTTGTTTGCCATTCTAAGTAGCATAAATAAAATACATCAAATCCTATTAATATAATAATTATTACAATTGAGAAATTTTGTAATGAAGAGTGAATAGATGGATGTTCATGGACAGGGTACACCTGTAAATTCACTGCCATATCCCACCCTTCAATCTGAAACACAGCCATGCAAACACAACTGCTTCACGGTAGAAACACGAATGGGACAGAGGTGGTCCAAGCAAACGACTTTTGTACAAAGTCTCCCTCTGGTAAATAGTATGGGCGTTCCGTGACGGATGATCGGCGACCGAAGATCGGGCTGAAGTGTGACTAGTGTAAGTTACCTCGTGCCCTCGTGATGAGGCGGCGCTCCTCGTCGCGCTCCTGGCGCGCGGTGCTGAGCCGCATGCCGAGCGCGCCCGTCACCAGCCGCCGCGCCAGCGCCGTGCACGTCTCCGGCCGCTGTCTGTCGAACGTGTTACCAACAATCTTATCAGGGGGGAAAGGGATTGTTAGCAATGGAGTTTGATAGCCCCATTACTAGCAATATGCCCTATTATGCCATATTAGGTCGACCTCCACGCGATTCCCCCTGGAAATCATCGTGAACAATTCTTGTTAAATTCGTCACGATGGGCTACTGACCTGCTTCGGGGGAAAGCGATTATTAGTAATGGAGATTGAGAATCCCATTGCTAGCACTATACCCAACCAGATCGACCTCCACGCGATTCCCCCTGGAAATCATCGTGAACAATTCTTGTTAAATTCGTCACGATGGGCTACTGACCTGCTTCGGGGGAAAGCGATTATTAGTAATGGAGATTGAGAATCCCATTGCTAGCACTATACCCAACCAGATCGACCTCCTCGCGGTTCCCCCTGGAAACTATCATAATTAATTCCTGATGAATTCATCATGATGGGCTAACTGGCCTGTTTTCATCCTCATCGATCACCCATCACTAGTGCCCCGTCAGCGTATCCCGTTAGCGCAGGCGGGGTTACTATTCCATTTTTTTCCATTAAAAAAAAAACTGACCTGCTTCATCCTCATTTATCATCCATCGTTAGTACCTCGTTAGTGTATACCGATGGCGCGGGCGGGGTAACCATTCCATTATCATCCATTAAAAAAAAACAATCTTATCAACAAATGACACTATAGTCAATGTGATTTATCTCCATTTTAACGAAACGAGATAGAATTTAAAAAAGAAAAATAATAAAAAAATAAATAACAAAGAAATAGGTTAATTATATTTATTAGGAGCACTCATATGTAATACCTCAGTGAAGAGGTATCATGGGTGACAGTATACTCGGTTCCATAAGTGTCAAAGTCCGGTAAGTTCCATAGGTGTCAAAGTGTAATTCTGTGATGTTCACAGTGCCCGTATCTACACAGGCGAAGGTTGCCACTCTCAGTTACCTTGTACGCTATTCTACGTTCAAATATAAAAAAAAAACTAACCTGTAAGGCTGTAGGTACTCTGCACACTTCTTCGCTTTATTCCTAGACTCGAGGGTGGCGGCGTGGAGCGGCCGACACCTCACCATCTGTCTCTGGGAGGACAACACCTCTGCAGCTGGAAAAGTAATTTGATGATATTTAAACTGTGAATATTTAACTGAACTATGTATTATTTTGCGGAAATCCATATCACTGGTTATTTAATCAGAATTATTTTGTTTTTTTTTTTTTTATACAACTTAGAATGGCAAACAAGCTAACGGCCCACCTGATGGAAAGTGGTAACCGTCGCCTATAGACATGAGCAGTACCATGGACATAACAGAGTATACTGTTTCGCCCATGATACATGATAATTTTTGTTTAATTTCTTTACCATAAGTGTGAAATTAACACGCAAAAACAACATTATTACTACTAGAATTTCCACAATATTCCATATTAGCCATCAATCTCCGACTGCCATTTCGTCGACGCATGTTTTGCGACATGTGTTTTACGTCTGAACGAGGCAACTTTAGGCAAATTATTACATTGCTGCTCGAAGCCTAGTGTTAACCGTTCAGCACTCTTAACTGCGACCAATTTATATTGTGGTTACAATTTCTCTCTGTATCATGCGACCCATGGATATAGAATCATTTATAAGAGATATACCCACATAGTTTTATGATATTTAGGTCGATTCTAAGACACTATTCCCTTAACTTAGTTTTAAAATTAAAATATTAATTTGGCAATCTAGCGAAACTGTGGTTTCGATCCAATGAGAACAATATGTGAAGTATCCGTAGATATATAATTTATTTACAAAAAAATCATTAGTAACTTCAAATATTTGAGAATGGAATTGTTTATTTTACATTTTCTGCTATAAATCTAAAAATAAACTTTATAAAAATTAATAAAAATTTATTTTAAAATATACAACGAATTTATAATTTACCCTACCTACTTTTATATAATATCTAAATTTGGACCAGTAAGTATCTGAGATCATTTTAAAATTTCGAGTACTCAATTTAGATTCGCTTCAAAAAAAAAATTCAATTATTGTTTATATGTAGATCACATGGACGTTAACATTTTGACGTTTATTTTATTGTATGTGAACCTAATTCGATTGCGTCAAGTCTTTGCCGCGTCAAAACAGCACGCTGCAGTGCAGTGGTAATGAGCCGCGACCTACAGAGCCTACTTTCGGCACAACCTCGCAAGGTGGTTCATCGACCTCGGTGACGCAACGCTGCGCCGAGCAAGTAGCACGACGATGCGGTGGCCGTACTAGGCATGTCGGTAACTTCCATTAGGAATATTCTAGCGGTTTACTCGTATATTGTTTGTAATGTATAATAATATATATTGAATTTTTTTATGAGATCAAAATTGATGATATCTTAGTCCTCAGAAATGGTAATATATGAGGAGAATCATAGGCGTCACAGTATATTCGGTGGTAGTCATGGTACTGTGAGGACGGGAGGAGTTTAAGGTATTAGTCATGCGGATTGTCAGTTTCATTGTTATCCCAATTGTGCTGTATTCCAGGTGTGTTCGTCACGATGGACTAATTGACCTGCCTTTTCTTTCGCACGTATCATCCTTCACTGGTACCCCGCCAGCGTATGCCATTAGCGTAGGCGATGTTACCATTCCATTATCATCCATTAACAAAAACCATGGTACTGTTAATGTTTATGCGCAATTAACTGAATGGTAAACGAACATTTCTGAACTGTGTTGGATTTGGGTGTTTTGGGGTTTGCTCCCAGATGTTTGATGTTTTGTCATAACACAGGGTATCCTGTATTGCCAACCAGGGGATTGATATAGTTATGTAGCACTTTACTTAATACATATGGTAAATAATACGGTGAAGAGGTCAGAACTTTAGGTCACTTCCAACAACGGTAATACCAAACCGATACGACATCGTAACCTTCAATAAAACTACTACTACATGTAATTTTATTATATATAGTTCAATACAAAAAAGAGTATGTTCCTTTTTTAAAAGGGCAGAAGCACACCTACAATTCCTCTGGTGTCGCGGGCACTTATGGGCGGCGGCAGTCACTTTATCATCCGGTAAGCCGCATGCACGTTTCCCCGTGTTATAAAAAAAATACGAATATTGTCTGATGCAATTTTTTTATATACACATTTGTTCCAAATAAATAAGTAAATAACTAATTACATCACCATAATTTTTTTTTGATGGGTGAAAATGGTATGGTAACCCCGCCTGCACTAACGTGATACGCTGGCGGAGCACCAGTGAAGGATGATAGATGCGAATGAAAACAGGCCAGTTAGCCCATCATGATGAACTTATCAGGAATTAACCATGATAGTTTCCAGGGGGAACCGCGAGGACGTCGACCTGGTTGGGTATATTGCTAGCAATGGGATTCTCAGTCTCCATTACTAACAATCCCTTTCTCCCCCTAACTCATCATCATCATTGTATCAGCTGTTTACTGTTCACTACTGAACGTAGACCTCTCCCATAAAAGGGGTTTTGCCAGTAGTTGCCGCGCTTGGCAGGCAGATTGGCAAGCGCAGTTAGCTTTTGGTGATGTTTTAAGAGGAACTCTACTGTCCACCCCTTGACCATAAAGCTCCCCTAGTCGCCTCTTACGATACCCATGGGGTAAGAAGGGGTGGTCCATTCTATACTGGGACTACATATAAATAACTAGCGGCCCGGTACGAGCTTCGCTACTTATAAAGTAAAATAATAAAAAATAATAATCCTAACATCTATATCGCTGACAATTTGCTTTAATCGAAGCACGTCCAAAATGAAATAACCACATGAATGACATAACGACATGCTTGTACTGTCGACGCTGAAAAAAGTTTCAATTTGGCAGCACAATCCCCATCTTAAAAAAAGTTTGAATTTGACACAAAAATCCCCATTAACAAAATGATCCGCCATTTATTGAATTCATTTGTTACAAAAAAATGTGATAAATGAAGAACCGCTCGACCGATTTTGTGCAAACTTCACATAAATCATCTACTAAATAGTCCGTACAAAGCCTACCAATTTAGTTTGGATAGGTGAGCCCGTTCTGTAGTTATAAAATTACAACGAAAAGTGGCAAGAATTTTTATATATATAGATTTTTTTTTTACAACACAGGGGGCAAACGAGCATGCGGCTCACCTGATGGTAAGTGACTACCGCCGCCCATGGTCACCCACAACACCTACGGCATTGCAGGTGTGCTGCCGGAAAAAGGAATATCAATTTTTTGAAGGTTATGTTGTCGTATCGGTTCGGAAATACTGCTGCTGGAAGTTTATATCCAAATAGATTACTATACCAGTAATTAATACTATAGCACCTATTCTATCTAATATATAAAATTCTCGTGTTACGGTGTTTGTTACTAAACTCCTCCGAAACGGCTTTACCGATATTTATGAAATTTTGTGTGCATATCGGGTAAGTCTAAGAATCGGCCAACATCTATTTTTCATACCCCTCAATGATAAAGGTGACCTACCCCTAAAAATTTTTTTATTATTTTTTTGACAATTTTTTTTATTATGATTTAGCATTGAAAAATACATACAAATTCAAATTTTCACGCTTTTTCGATCAACCCCTGTTTTTTAATCGCGATTTTTATATAGCAATAGGCTTGCAAGATGGTATTCGAATATAATAATTGTAGTAGGATAAATTTTCATGTATAATTCTCGAAATAACGTATATGGTAAAACAACGTTTGCCGAGTCAGCTAGTAATATATAACATGTGAATAAAAATAAACAAATATAAGCGTAATTTGTACGTTATTTAATTTCAACAGCCTCATAGTTATTCGCCAAACATTAAAAATAAATTAGAAAATGAAACTTTAGCGTACTTTAATTAGTTGTATTTTTTAATAAACATACATTTTAAAATAGAATCAGAGAATTAAACTTTAAGAGCTCTCGCTCGTAAAGTTTAATTAATAATAAATTTCCATCAAGCGACACTATTTTTTAGTACAATAGTAAAATACAAGGAAATAATAAAGGAAAAGCTAGTTCAATTAAAACTGAGAAAAAATACCATAACTGCATTATTTGCTGTTACTTTCATGATCAATAGAGAAGCTACACCAAAGAGACTCTCTCGTAGGAAAAGAGGAAGAAACTTGGTTTATAATTTTTCATCAGCGCCGTCACAAATTTGGTCAGGGGCACCAGGCACGCCGAAGCTTGGCTTTGGTCATTGTATTATTTAAATTTTAAAACCTTATACAAACACTGAATATTCATGCAAATGTATAAAATTCTAATCACGTCTCTCCAACTAAATAGAGACCATTCACTGAGCACAATACAGTTTTTATGTTTAAAGATGACAGTGGCCATGAGCTTGATAATGAAATTATTTACTTTAATGGGGTAATTAAAGAATAATAATAATTTATTTAAATAACTGTGGGTTGAATAATTCTCTCAATGCATTCACTACTCGACTCACAAGGCTGTTTTAGTAACCGGTAACTAATTAAATAAGTAATCTGTATAAATATAATGCAATTATTTTCAAATCTTGTTAAACTAATAATTGAAAGACTATCCAAATGATATTTGTAATAAATCGAAATATTCCATCATACAATTTTTAATTTGAACTACAGGACATCAGCACTGTTTTTTCAGTGTTGCATACAAGAAACCATGTAGGACCATGTTTCGGTTCCATAGGTAATCGCTGGCATTAATAATATTTAATAATTTAAAATATTTATCTAGCTGAAGTATCGAATACAAGTATATGAAAACCGCTTCGAGCTTAATACAACTTCTGTATTCATGAAACATGACGATTGTCATAACATAACCGTATTACTTACCGATTAAATTAACCCTTTGCACTCGTAATTATGCTTTAGAATGTTTAGCAAATAACTCGGAATATTTTTCATGTTCGATCAAGATGAATTTGTTTGTATGGAAATGTATTCCAATGTAACTAGAAGATTCACCAACCTTAAATCAGAAATTTCAAAATATACCTCTGTATACACACCTTGACCTAGGATGGGAATGTGGCCAATAATGATAAAACGACTAATGTCCCCCGTACGATATACGAGTGCA